TCGTTATCACCATGCCTTTTGATTGCTGTGCTGTGCTGAAGAGTCGTAACCGGGTTTACTCCTGTAAATCTACTTATTTACTAGAGTTAGTCACTTACTCTAGTTTGCCACATTTTCACAGTTGCCCAACTGATTTCCAGCGAAAAGTGGTGAATTTATTCCCCTCGTTGAAATGAGCTGCCCAGCACAGTTCGTGCATGCAACTTGCCGAACAACTAACAACAAGAAACTCGATATACTGGAGGTCACGGAGGTTCGTCTCCCGGAGAAATGCACACTTGATTTGAGATTAGATGACCATTTTGGTGGTCAAGCAACAGTAAATTGTGTCTTGCTGGTATGGGTGTCTTTTTATCCCCTAGGATAAGCCGGACGGCCATTTCGGTGGAACAGGTGTCAGAGAGAACAAGCGATGCTGAACGTCATTACTGCATGTACTCTGACAAACGTGTCGAAAGAAAGCAGCATAAACATTTTATGCGACTGCCTGCAATCGGCGTTAGCGTATTGTCGCGTCACAACATCGATTTTCTCAGAGGCGATTTTTCACGTGAAGGTGGACGCTGAGAACAGCACCTGGGCAGGGGTACTCGGCGGTTACGGTATTGAATGACAACAGGAGACACCTGTTGAACTTTTGCGAGATAAACAGGTTAATATTCAGAGGGACACTATTCCCTTACAAGTGAATGTACCGAACCACCTGGACGTTCCCCGATGGAAGCCTGAACATCAAATAGGACCACGGCATCATCAACTGCATGTGGTGCAGACCGTTACTCAGAATCGCTTCAGGAGCGGCGCCTACACTGGCTCTGATCACCATGTGGTCATAGCGGAACTTAATTTGAAACTAGCCGTGTCTAATCGACGCTATCTGGTTGAAATACATCAGCTGCTCGAGGCTGACCGGCGGGAAGCGGCGAAGCTGCGTGGTCGGCCTACCAAAATGAGGTAGAGAGTTATTTCAGTAATCAGTCGGGAAGTGGCAGCGTCAAATTTGCTACGTACAAAGATTTCAAAGAAACCGTCATCCCCTCAACGAAGAAAAACGTAGTTAGGATCAGGAAGAGAACAGTGGAAGTACTCTGGGTTACGGAGGATGCCCTAATTCTTGAAGTCCAAAGGAATAGGCAAGAAAAGGCACTTGAAACCCCCTACTGTGCCCTCAAAGACAGCTCATCGCCGGCTCGTTCGTGCAATTAACCAGAGCTACAGGAGAGATAGAGAATTTCTGCTGGTGATGCAAATGAGGATAATCTACAAGAAAGCCAGAGACGTTGAGCAGCCGACATTGTTCAACGGGGGCGATAGTTGACCTATAAGCGGCTGACTTCGTTTATTTTTATCCAAAGCGAAGAGGGTGTCCCCTGGCAGGTCAGGAAGAACGCCTTAAACGATGAGCTGAACATTTCCAGCAGTTGCTCTTCAGAATCATCTTTTCTGACCTGCAAATACCAACAAAGCATACCTAAAGGTGAACAACGCTCGTGAGGTGGATCAAATTTGTCCAGAGTTAAGTAACTATCGAGAAACGGGAATGACATATAAGTTTCAGCCCGTGTTCATCAAATTCGGTCCTCCACACATTTTCCTGCTAAACGGAAGTCTGAAGTATTTGTCTACATATTTAAATGGGATCAGGTGATGGAATATTCCAATTACTGTCATATCACACGACGCTTAACTCTCGGGAAGCTTTTCTCCTGGATTATTCAGGAAAAGCTGAGGCAGGTAGCTGATGGAAGACTTCGCCGTAATCAAACAGGCTTCTGTATGGGGTTCGACCAAATTTTAGTTCTGCGCAGGACCGGACTATTCAACAATGCCGATGATTCCAGTTTCCTCGATTTTAAGGCTGCATCTCATTTGTTACATCGTCAACACTGTGGAAAATTTTGAAATGCTATGGAATTGCTGAGTACACCGTTCTAGTTTGGAAGAGACAAATGGAGGAACTAG